TGCCAAGGTGTGCAAACACTGATACCATTAAAATGGTGCAAAAGCATTTAGCCCGCTTTAAAGTGTCATGTATACACCCCCCTCAGTTTGTCTATACACGGACAACATTCCCAATGAGGCCGCACTAAAATAGAATATAGTAGGAGAACAATTTCTCTTAACTTGCAGGTGACCCTTCTATACATATAGCCCAGTTTGCTATTGGCTTTTTATTTTGCAACAAGACAACACTGTAGGGTCATAGAAGGTAGACAGGAGTGACAATTTTCACCTGATCTAGCCACAAAAGGCAGTTTATAGCTATGGCCAAACACAAGTGCACAGCTGCAGATAGCTTAAAAATGGCCAATACAGTGAAAAGACATTTAAGAACAGGCATCTTCTGTAACTTCTGTTTGCACTGCCTGTCAGCCTGCAGCTCTTTTCAGAATGGGAGGGGGGAAAGGTAGCAGAGGGAGTTTGGTCTGGGAGTTTTTCAACCCTCATTAGAGGGTGGGGTGGGTGTATTGGAGCCCTACCCCTCCACCCCCGGGGGGGGGGGGGGGGGGGGGCTCCAATTCACCCATCCCATGCTCCAGAGCCAGCTGGGGAAACCTTAGAATGAGATCCCTCTGCTCCCTATCCCCCCACCCATTCCATAATATGGAGAAGCTGGGAGAGAGGAGGGGACATTGCCGGGGGAAACCTGCTGCAGGCTCCCAGTTAGCAGCTAGATTTCCCTCCCCCCTGGAACCAACATTGAACTTCTGTTTGTTCCAAGACATTCTTGTAACTCAGATCACTTCTTGCAAAGCCTTCTCATTTAGAGCAAGCTTATATGTCTGTACCCATATTCTAGCTAATGGTCTATAACAAGGGTGGGCAAATATTTTGGGCAGAGGGCTGCTTACTGAGTTTTGGTAAGCTATCAAGGGCCACATGACAGGCAGCCAAGGGCAGATTATTATTAAATTTTCTAAATTTTTTAGGGGCTCTGCAGGCTGGATAGAATGGCTTGGAGGGTCGCATCTGGCCCCTGAGCCACATTTTGCCCACCCCGGTATATAATAACCACCGGGTCCTTTTCTATAATACTGCAGCCTAACCAGTCATTCCTTGGTCTCTATTTTGTATGTAAATGTCACTTGTCCTTACTGAATTTCATTCAATTAATTTTGGATCACTTTTTATGCAACTCCACCCATCTTGGTGTCATCTGCAAACTGTGTTCTCCCTTCTTCCATATCATTAATGAACCTAGGACAGATAAGTGAGGAACCCTACTTGATACCTCTTCCCAAATAGACATGGAGCAACTGATGATTATTCTTTGAGCAGCGTGATCCAACCAGTTATCTATTCACTTTACAGCAGTTTTGTCTACATCAGTTATAATAATAATTGTTTATTTTACCTTTTTTTTTATTTATTATACCTAAATATTAAAGTAGCATTAATGACTGTTACATAGTTGATAGTGCCATCAAGCTGTTGCTTTTCCACCTGAATCACTTCAACCTAATGAGAATGAAGCATTCCTTCACACTGGTGTTGGAGTTCACCACCACAAGTCAATGTGGAAACAAAAATTGCCCTTGGATTTGAAAAAAGATCTGGAGAACTTTAATCATTCACTGTTAGTTAAAGACAAGTGCAAGGATGTCTGTATAGTCAGAGGAAATGCACTTTGAATTTAGTTTTCTGAGTAATTTTTGGTATTTCATTAGAGAAATGGAAGGTTTTTCAGTAGTAATATAGCTTTAATACTTACCAAGTGTTAGATAGACAGATAAATGAAGAAAAAATGATATAGGGATTGAAAAGTTTGTGTCCCCCTACTTCTCTGGCAGTATGAAGATACCCATGCTGTTATTCTTATGTCTCTGAATTAAATTCTCTATGAAATTTAATGTTAACCCAAAGTAAGCTGCTCACTGCAGAAGTTCTTTAAACCTCCTTCTAGTAGAAAGTAAGTTCAGATAAAATAGGTCCTGAATATGTAACAGAATAAAGACAGTTATATTTTTGAGCTTGGGTAAAATGTCAAACCTCCTTGTACACAGATATTGCTTATACTTTCTGAGATGTTTCAAAAGCAGTTCATCTTTTTCTTTTCCCATTTGCCCAGGTTAACAATACCACTGCTGTCAAATGACACTTGAAGTAAGATGTATTTCCAGTGCTGCCCCATATATTGCAGGGGTTGTCATTAAAAAGTCAACATTGACCCACAATAATTGAAGCACTGCACTCACTCAGATAATGTTACCTTTGGGTAAATGTTGACATTTTAACGTCTGTCACTGCATCTAATATATGGTTTAAAAATATGTTGTTATCTCCTATTCTAAGTATAGTGTATCTCAAGCACTTTCTTAGTTACTGTTGGCAGACATAGACTTTTTAATCGTAATCGCTGTATGCGCCTCTTCAAGTGCTACTGTTACATGGAAGATTGCCACTGTGTTTTACAGCTGTTCAGAAGGTCATCAAGGCAAATCAATGCATTGCTAAAAATAGCTTTGGAAAGAAGATATAACCTCATGGTTCAGCAGTGAAGCTAAACTCTAAGTACTGGGATTAGAATGAGAGATCCATAGGGAGCAAATTATCTCATGCCTCCCTTGGTTTATTGCCTCTTCCTCCAAAGCACTTGGTGCTGGCTATTAGGCATGTCTACACATGTGCCTGACTATGCAGTTGGGACTGTAAATTGCTGATACTGTGCAGTCCCAACAGCCCATGGATTGTTTCTGAACCTACTGCACAGTAGCAAAGAGCTACTGTTGCAGCAGTGGCGGCGTCACAGTTCGTGCCTGCTGATGCTATGTCACCGTAATATCTCATGTAGATGCACCGACTGAGTCAGCCAACGGTTTGATCCCATATGGCTAGTCCTATGTTTCTACAACACAGTTGCATTTTTAAAGAAAGAAATTGGCAGAATGTACAGCTAAATTATAGCATTTACAGCTGGAATTGCTAAAATAGTGGAAGTAAAACCCCATGCTTCATTGCTGATCAATCTTGTGGTCTAGAGGTAATAGGGAGGAAAGAGAGAGGAAGAGGTAATAGGGAGGAAGGGATGAATTTTTCCTTTCATCATGAGGTCTTCAATTGTGGCTAGTGACAAAGATAGGGTGATACACATAGTAGGTCAGTGGACTGACAAGATATGGTAAATTATATTTTGAGGGAATTTCTTAAAGATGAATGGGAAGACTTCAAAAAATGTCCAGCTCAGCCATCGTATAGTTGACCCTAGCTATAATTAGCTATTTGGTTGCTTGCATAAAAGAATAAAAGGTTTCTTTGTGTTTATATTATCAAGCATCTTCAAAAGAAAAAAAAAAAAGAGCATGAATCACAAAAGAATCAATGCACAAAAATGTCATGTTTTGTGGTTTTGCTACTCCTCCAAATTCAACTAGCAGCATGAAAGTACAACTGTAATTTTAAGGATGACTCATTCAAACAATGTTATTGGCCAGAATAACATCATAGCTTTTGCAATAAACCACCAAACTGTGAGGGAAGAGTAACAGGGGAAAAAAGTTTCAGTGTTGTAGATTGTCAGCATTCATTTTTCTTTTTTGGTTCATAAGCTTCTTTTTGTTCATTAGCTTTCAACAGGGCCCTGCAGTTGTGCTGATCATATTGTCTCTACGTTCACATCATTAAGTGACCTCACAGGAGACTGGAATCCATCATGATCTCCATTGTTTTGTCAGAATGAGTGTAAAGTATTCTCTCAGGCTCAACTATTATCTAAACTAGAAATCAGAATGCAAAGCATTTTTTGGTTGTTTAGAAATCACCTCCAGCACCCACCAGAGGGACAGAATTGCAATAAGCTTTGAAACGATAATGCTTGAGCCTCCCTCTTCCCCCTGAGGTTTCACCATTAGACAAACAATGACACTGATGTCACCTACAACTGATTGAGGAGCAATTTCCAATAACAGCAATTGACACTTGTTGACAACATGTTATTAAATGTCTAAACTAAGCCCATGGCTCTGTCTGTAAGGATCTTTCTGCTGCTGTGGAAACTCAACATCACAGTGACTTTATGGCATAAAGTGCATGGAAATATGTGTTTCTACATTGGGAAATTGTCCTCCATTACCCTTGCCATCACTTGATCCCAAATCAGTTAGTTTCGTGGGATATACAAAAACACCTGTGAATAGTGTGTTTACCAGATACTAAGAATCTACAATGCTTCATTACAATGTTTAAACTGAATGATCAAAATAGAAGAGTCACTGAGTCATTAAGTCTTCTGCTATGACAGAGCCCTATAATCTCTTTTACCAAGTATGAGCTAAGGGTGATTTCTCAATTGATATTGTAATAAACACAAAGCGGATACCTTCCGCCTTACTGAGATGGGAGCAAAGCTCATGGGACATACTCTGTTTCATGAGGCTCTGGCATGCCTGCAGTATCATCAGTATCAGCAGGATTAAGGGACACTTGAATATGATTTCTGCTTCTGCACAGACAGAAAGCATTCTTAATTAAAGATTTATAGGATAATTGCATTTAATTAACACATAAGTTGAATTTCACTATTTAAAGTATTCCCTGGTTGTTTCATTTTATGCTAACATTTAGTGATTAATTGCTTCCTCTTTACATGCCAAAGAGATCCATCAAATCCCTTTATATTATTCCTTTCATCCAAGTTTCAAGATGATGTTACAAACTGAAGACCAATAAGCAAACGTGTTATGCTATTAGTTAGAGCTAAAGCAAAAGCCCCAAATCAAAACCAGCTTACATGTTAGGATCTAGAACTCTATTTCCTAGCACCTTTAAACTTTGAGAAAGTTCTGAGTTCTGGTGTTGAGGTCTATCTCTGTGTAATCTCTATTTGTACATAAAATTGAGATTAAATTACTTACCAACAGTCATATGATTTGCCAGTGGAAGTTCTTCTCTTGTGGTCTACAAAACTGAGCTTTTTTCTGACTACAGGGAACTGCAAGGACCTTTTCAACTTTCATGTTAAAAATGTGGGTTTCTCTGAATTCTAAGTTCAAACAAAGCCAAAAATTAAAAGAATTTCATTACATTTCCTGAGTCTTGTATAATGTTCACATACTCTAACAATGGGCACTATGGGAAAATAGGAATACATAAGCCAATAGATAAATAGACATGATTTTGCATAGGAGCATAAATGCATTCTGGTCTCATGTGATAAGTGCATGAACCTCACCTGAATTTAAAATGAAACATGAAACCAGGTGACAAAACAAAACAAAACAAAAAAAACTTTGCTTCATTCTAGTTCTAACCCCTCACCAATACATCCATTCTGCAAACTGTAAAAAAAGCTAAGAAAAAGCTAAGAAAAAAGTCTAACAGAACAATTTAGGCAATAAACCCTAAAAGGATGACTATCACCTTTGCTGTTTCTCTAGTGTGCTGTGCTTGTCATTCAGGAATTTGCTACAGATAAGTGATAAGTAACCAGAATACAAGTCCAATAAAACCAGTGATATTTACTCCATAATGCAGTTCTTCTTTCTATGGCACATTTTCTTTGAAGATTGATTACACTATTTATTGTGTAAGCTTGGATAATGCAAAATGATTAGATGTACAGCTATTTTTTCCCCCATCTCCCTGTCATTCTTTTAGTCAACAATGGCACAGTCCTAGTGGCTTTTCATGTACTTGTACGAAAGGTCAAGTTTAGCCATCAGCACTGAAAAACAATCTTGAAGGGTAACTTAACTGCATTATAATGAAGGCTGGGAGAATCGTAAAGCTTTCTAACTTCAGAATGACTCACAAAGTTTGCAAAGAATGTTCTACACTGGGGAAAACAGCATTTTAAGGCACAGAATTTTGTTAAGTAGATCAACTGCAATTCCCATTGGGTCTTATCCTGGCCAGTGGCAAAACATCTCTTAATTTCAGTGAATTTCAACATGCTAGTTCTTCGTGTCTCTCAGGATTAAGTCTCACTAGGCGATTGTCTAGTTAAGGATTGTGTAATGAACATCAGTGGAAACATTCTGGATATATTATATACCTCCACTCTAGTGTAACTGAAATCAGTTTTTTTGCCTTCAGTAAAGTTCAGCTTGATTGTCCATAGTATCTCAGATCATAGGAAGCCTGATTTTTTTTCAAAGTTGCTGAGGTACTCCTGCTGACTTCAGTTGGTGTTCTGGATAGCCATCACCATTGAAGAATCAGGATCTTCCTTCTTTGTACATCCTATAGCATCGTGTTTAAAAAGAGAGCTAGCTATAAATATGGAAATGTATGTGCCCTATTTAAGTACAATGGTTAAATTGTATTCAGATAGGCAAGGGCTTACACAGCTGTTAGTTGCAAAATCTTGCCGTTACCTTGGGTCTCCTACAGCCTTTGGGGAGGTAGAAATTCACTCAGAAATCACTATAACACCTATTTCAGCAAACAACCATTTCACAATAAATCCCTTTACAATTTAATGTATCTTTTACCATTTGAGCTCTGGTTGATTTTTATGGATGGTGCAGGCTCAGATCAGGCCATTGGAATAAACTGCTTTCTTTTTTGGTTCCGCATTTCAAGCTCAGACTCTGTTTATGGTATCCCTCCAGCAGCAACTGCATCTGTCTTGTCTCACAACCTGTGCAATCCCCTCTCAAAAGTCATCCTTTTCTTCTAGCAGAAGGAGAGCTAGAAGCAGAAAGAAAGGTAGACAGATAGACAGAATGGCAGCTCTGGAGATGTTTTAAATATTCATCATTGTTATACTCCTGTTGTAAACCAGCTGTTGATTTTTCAATAATCTAATCTCCTTATATAATAATACACAGTAACTGGCATAGTAGTCAATTTAAATTAGGTATTTTAGGAAACATAAATTATCTTGTTTTCTCAAATGTATCCTTTACATCTTTGATGTAAGTGGGGAATATACAATAATTAGTGAGAATGAGTCCCCTTTTTTCTGGCAGAAATGTGTGTTAAAAAAATGTGTGACCTGAATTGTGCTGTAAAGGACAAAGAAAGCTATTTCCTGGCTCTCTGGGCTTTGGTCCCCCTTAAGTCTTCCCTTTTCCAGGCTGAACAGTTCCATGTCCTTTAGCATCTCCTCATATGGCCTGTCCTCCAGACTTCTAATCATAAGTGGACTGTTTCAAGCATGGGTGACTGGTGACTCCCGAGTCTAGAGAGGGACCCACGGAAGCCTCTGGCTGTGTTGGCAATGGGGACAGAGCTGGTGAGCATCTGCAGATGCTACCTCTGGTGTCAGTGGCAGAGCTGGCAAGCATCCACAGATGCTGCTGGCAGCATCAGCAGTGGGGATGGCCCTGTTGAGGGGCATGTCAAGCACCCGCAGATGCCACAGGCGGTGTTGGCAGTAGGGATGGCCCTGTTGGGGGGTGGGGGGTGGAGGGGGGGCACATGGCCCCCCGTCCCTCCCTACCAGTTGTCTATGCTTTCAAGGTTCTCCACATCCTTGTTGAAGTGAGGCATCCAGAACTGGGTGCAGTACTCCAACTGGGGCCTCACCAATACCAAGTAGAATGGGAGGATGACATCATTAGTTTTACTTGAGATGCATTGGTTGGTGCATTTCAGTGTACTGGAAATAGCATGACTAAGCTTTGTAAAGGGAATGAAGTACGTAGAGGATTTTCAACTCCTGCATACATGTGAGCTCAGTTTTTCCAGGGGGGGCCTCTAACACACTGGAGAGATGATGAGGATGGAGGATCCATTGCTTTGTAGATCTCTCTATCTACCTACATGGAGGTGATGTAAAAAGTGGCATTTTTCAGTGTGAGGAAGTGGAGTTTTCTCCATCCCTACACATTATGCTCCCATATGAGTATTGAAGCTGACTGATATAAAAAGTAAGAAAAAAAATAAAGGTGTCACCCTAATCTCTTGCAGCAAGAAATTCTGCTTTTGGGACCTTTTAACAAGGATGATTTGTCCCAGGATACTGAAAGCTTTGTCCTGAGCTCCTTCAGCTGTATTGGCTTTCTTCACCATGGTATTCCTAATACGATTCAGGGGGAGTGAGAGAGGTAGGGACATAAATTGCACATGAACCTGTATGATCAGAAACCAGTTCAAATCTGTGACGTAATAGAAATTTAGCCACATAAACCACTTCCAAAATAGCCAAAAACCAGGTTAAGATAAACCTGGATGATATAGTATCAGACTTAACTGGTTTAGATTACATCTGTTTATTGAATTTCTGTCCTAGATGCCCTCCACATTCAAGTAAATGACAGTTACCCAGCATCCCAGGATGCTGTGTACCTCCCCTGTAAGCCTCACCTCATAGGGTGGGCAGGTTAGCCTTGGCCCAAGCTGTCTGCTCCAGCTGAGCATGGAAGCATGATCTAGTGTCCCCCAGCTTCTGGCATGGGTCACTGCAGGCATGTGACTGCATTTCCAGAATCAAAAGTGAATGCCTGTTCACTTGCTTATTGGTTTAATCTATGCAGTTTAGACTAATGTGCAAAGACTGAATCAATTCAGCTTCCGGCTTTTTGATAGTGAAGGAGTCTCTAAATCTCTGACTTAGATTGGGACCAATCTTACTGAAGGTCTTAAAGATGAGGGCAAATGCCTTAGGTGGCCTTGCAAAACACACACATCAAACAAAAAAGCAAACAAAGAAAACAAAAAACAACCAATCAAGCCAGAGAGAGCCTTAGTGTTTAGATTATGTTGATGGCTAAAGGATTAGAAAATTCCATCTCTGAGAAAAAGGAATGGAGGCATTGGTAAAAGGCACTGTACTCTGCCCTGGATCCATATATATTGTTGAAGCATGTGATCCACAATATACTTCATAATGCCTTGAAGGTTGAATGTCCTTTGGTGTTTGAGAAACCCCTGATGCACTTCAGTAAATTTTAGGAAAGACTGAGCATGGTCTACTAGTTACAGCACAAGTTATGATAGACATATAGGTTTTATTTAGAGCTTTGTCACTCTCTTGCTACACTCTGTGACCTTGAGCAAATCACTTTAACTTCTTTGTGCTCATACTTAACATCTCAAAGTACTGTGAGATCTTGGCATAAAACAAACCACAGCAAGGGCCAAGTATTATTTTTCCTTAAAAGAAATTCAAAATCTTCTTTCCAATCTGAATAATGAAGACCATTTCTGTCAGTCTATAAAGCAAGAAAAATCTTTTAAATGAACAGGTTGGTAGAAATTTATTATATTTGCTTGCTAGAGCATCAAGGGATTAAATAATTAAAAAAAAATACTGTAAACCCCCCCTCCCCCCCCGCAAAAAAAGTATCAGCCATCCCTGGATATCCTTCACTTGAAATCCAGAATATACAGGGGCTCTAAGCAGTCTGTTTATCAGGGCCCCTCAAATGAAATAATTTAGGGGAAAACAAACAGCAATTGTATGACTGTACAGAGAAATTAGCATTTTGCTCAAAAGGAATGGCAATTAGCAATGATGACAATGTGATTTATACTAATTGAGATTAAGTCAGACAAAATGGCAACATTAGTAATCATTTGAAGTACTGTATTACTCATTATATTGTGCTTTGTAAACATCTCTCTTGAAATTAAAAAGTAATTAGCGGCATTTTAGTCATTTAATTCACTATAATTAGGATTTTAGGAAAACTACAGCCCTGCTGTTAGAAGTCTTTACTGTTTTGATTTGAGAGAATGATTTTTTTTTTTTTTTTTTTTTAAACTTGGCTTTTATTGGCAGTTCTTTTTTACGTGGATCTGTAGTCCACAAAGGCAAAACAAATTCCTTTATTAAAACTTACATGTATGTATTTATGGACTATAATTGACATACCAATTAATCATAAAATGTCATGGACTGCCTGGATCAGGGAAATGGCAACAAGATCAGAGAAATTGGAATAGGATTAGGTAACATTTATGAGTCTCCATTTCAAAGTCAACCAAAACATCGAGTGAGCAGAAGTCATTACTTCTGGAAGGTGCTCAGTGGCTCATATTGAACTAATTAGTAATCTGAGTGCAGACTGTAACGGTCAAGGTCCATATCTCAAACCCCACCAGTTCAAGAGCCACCAGCATACTGAAACTGGAGTGGATCCTTCCAGAGTGTTCAATGAGTAAAGAAAAAAACCTACCACATCTGAGGTCAGGGCATGTCTGCAGAGCTAACCCTCATTATGTACCAAATATGTATCCAGTATGAAACTTTCAATGGTTCAGGAGAATAACAAGTCCTATTCAACACCCACAAAAAATTGGCTGAGGAAAGAATGAGGCACAGACAAGGAAGCATCCTTTCATTTCAAGTAGGGCTTCCTCTAGGACGGCCGTGCTCAACCTTCTGGCCCTACAAGATGGATGAGTGGTGCAAGGCTGGCCCATGTGCTAGATCCCACATACAAAGCCAGGCTGTGTGCTGAACCCAGCACAGGGTTGGTGTGCGAGTAAGATCCAACTGTGTGTAGGCCCAGCCCTACAAGTCCAAACTGACTTTGTGGGCTGGCCCAAACATGCACCAGCACAGTGTGGAGTACAGGGCAACATCATCTGGTCCATGGGCTCCCTACAGGGCTTGAAATTTGGCAGTCAGGGAGTAGCAATTAATGGTGCCATTGCTCCACTGCCACCAAGTTTCCAGACCCATAGGGAGACCCATAGGCCAAATGACATAGTTCCATGGGTTGGAGGTTGAGCACCACTGCTGAAAGACATTTTTGAAGAGAAAGCACATTCACAAAGCTTTCAGGTGATGATGAAAAGTAGAGTACTGAGATCATCATGACTTCTAGATTTCTATGAAATCTATGAATGGATGGGGTTTTTAGGTGCTGGGGGGCTTTGTGGCCCCTTGATTATGGTTCCTAGGAACTGTGTGCTCTCAGGTCCCCCTAAGATCTCCATAGCTTGAAAGTTGCACTGTCAGTTTCACTTTCTTTGCTAGACACTCTGCACTTCAGGTTCCCTGGCTCATTTGGGGTGAAGTGGCCACACAGACAACCCCCACTCCTGGCAACCCCTCCACTTCTCTCCCTCACTCCAGATGAGCCTGGCAACCTGGATTGTACGGTTTCTAGGCAAGAATAGAAATTGACAATGTGGCTTTCAAGGCAGGGGTTGTAAAGTGTCACAGATTGTTGGGGCTCCAAAGCACACAGCACCCTGGGAACCAGAAGCAGAGGGCCACATAATCCTTTAGCAGCTGGAAGGGAAAGATCCAGAAAGGGTGCAGTGACACATTTGTACCCCCCATTTCAGACCACACCATTGGAGCAGTTGTCCACAAATCAGGTAAGAATCTTTTCCCTCTCTTTCCCCCATCCTCAGTGGTACATCCATCCCACTTCAATTCTCTCTCCCCCACCACCAGTTAATTTGGGATGAAGATGGGGAGTTCCAAAACTGCTCCAGCTGGGTTCAGCCAAGAACTGTGATGGTGGTAGCAAGTGGGTTCCCCTCCATGTGCTTCCTCCTGGGCTGGCAGAGAACATCTGAGGGGGACCAGGCATAGAGGAGAAATCTGCCTACTGCTGCCACTCTTCCTAGCTGGAGAGGGCAGGAGTAGCTCCGGATACCCTCATCCTCAAATCAGCTGGGGACAGCAGGAACAGCAGCAGATGGATGGGGGAAATGCAAGGGGAGAGGAGAGGGTAGCAGGAGGAATGGGAGGGGGACAAGATTCTTACTTGATATGGAGACTTAAAGTCTGTACCTCTGGTCCTGCGGTCTGTCCACACCACAAGGTATGGAGAAGCTGGGTGTGGAAGTTTGGATAATAGAGTCCTGGCTGTATTTCAAAGAAACTCCTTGCCCTGAATGGTTTTTGTTTGTTTGTTTGTTTTTTGGGGGGCAGGAGGAGCAGTTCATTTTGGGATACTTGGAGGACTAAGCAGACATTAGGCATGGGAATATTTTGTAACCCAATGTAACATGGAGCCAGTTTACAAGGGAATGGCTCAAAACAGTGCTTGATTTTCCCAGTGTGTTTCTGAAACATTCCAGATAGTTTAAGCCAGTGTTAAGTGGCTATGTGTCTACATTCTTGGGGTTTAAAGTATATTAGGAACATCCCAACCATTATGCCATCTGTACCCTTAGAAAGCTCATTAGTCTTTTCTTTCTCAGTTGCTCCTATTTGATAAGCTAGGCAGTTGTAACAGGGGGCCTGCTGGGGTCCATCTACTGACAGCCCCACCCACCTGCTCTGGGTCAACTGCCTGCCTTATTGTTAATTAATTAAATGATCTTAATTAATTAGGCAGGAGGCTGCCCATGTCTTGCCCCGATGCCAGGGGTCTACACCACAGCCCAACCCTCACAGATGGTATTTATAAATTCCTCTTTATGTTGGGGTCTCAGCCACTGTAGGCTTACCCCTTCTCTCTCTAGCTAGGCCCGTCAGTCAAAAACCCACTAATCAGGGCTTGACTCCAAGGCTCTAGCCCTCAAAAATTCACTTGGGCTCCTGCACCCTTTCTGGTGCTGGGGTCTCCACACTGCAGCGGGTCCCCAATGAGACCTCCTTCTTCCCCTAATAGCCTCAGCCCGATCCTCCAGTTATTAATATCCAATGCAAACATAGGCTTCTATGGCCATATAATGGAAAAATGATAATAAAGACATATGAGAGGCAACACGCCTGCTTACTTTAGATCTGGCTTGTCCAACATATGGCCCGTGAGCCGCCATGCGGCTTGCCAAACTGTTTTCTAAGGCCTGAGATGCTACAATGGGAAATGAAAATAAATACTGTTTACTTTCTTTCCCACCCCTTGTCCCTCCCCTAGCCCTTCAGCAGCTTCCTAATGGCTGCTGAAGGGTTGGGGAAAGGACAAGGTTCCCACACACACCGCATCAGCTTGATGTTGCTGACACGGTGCATGTGGGAAGAGGAGTAGCTGGCAGCAAAAGCATGGGTCATCGATGCAGCGCGGGGTGGTCCCGGGAGGAACTCATACTGTCCAGCACTGTGGGTGGTGAGCGGAGCCCAGCTGGGCACATGTGGGGCAAGGGAAGCGGGGACAACCCCCCCCCCCCCACCCCTCCCCCCCACATTCCCCCCCCCAC